AATGTGAGCAGCTCTCCTCCCAAGTCCGGGTATTTGTGCCAACGAGTATATGGTGAAAAGCTGTGGCAAAGATGGCTTTCATATTTGTGTGTGGCTCCACTCCTTCCTATCATCCACATCAACAAGATGTTGTCCTGCACTGAGGCTGAGGGGTGTCTTCAGAAAGCTGCAGGGCACATTGGTCCACGTTGGCCAAATTAGCATGTCCATCCACACCAAACTGCAGAACAAGAATCATGTGATAGAGGTCCTATGCAGGGTTGAGTTCAAGTTCCTTGGCTGACAGAACATCTACATCTCCAAGAAGTAGTACTTTACCAAGGTTAATGTGGGTGAATTTGAAGACATTATGGCTGAAAGGCAGCTCATCTCTGGTGGCTGTGGGATCAGATATATCCCTAATTGTGTCCCCCTGGATAAATGTCAGGCCCTGCACTCATGAGGGTTTCAGTGCTGCCCCTCCTTACTCATACCCACCAATAAAACCTACTTCTTGTCCAAAAAAAATTGGGGGGGGGGGTAGGTAAGGAGGTAGGAAATGTTTCCTTCTCTTCTGTTTTCTCAGATTAGTTTTGTGCAGAAGAGTGACATGATTGAATTTAGGCTTTAGCAGGATACTTGGCTACTGTGTTAATAGACTGGGAGTGGTGAAAGGATGGAAGAAGAGAGATTACTTGAATGTCACTGCACTCTTCTAGGCAGGAAATGAGAATGGCTTGTACCAAAGTGGTAGCACTGGAGGTGGTGAGAAGGGGTCAGATTCAGAACATATTTTTAAAGGAAAAATGATAAAGACTTGCTGTGGATTGAATGTGTTATATAAGAGGAAAGAAAGGAGAAAAATATGACCCCTAAGTTTTATCTGTACCTTTAATTTTTTTTTCACCTATTAAATGTAGAATCCAGGAGGCTGTACCTCCTGCTCCTCCTCTCCATCATTATTCACAGATGGGGAGGCCAGGGTATCAACATCTCAAGGTACTTAAAATCATGTGGGAAAGGATGGTCTCTTTCTTTACATTGTAAAAAAACTTTTTTGCGTGAAAAACTTCTAATGTAAATTAAAATAGATTAATAATAATAGTATTCTCCTATTTAGCAACACTAAGTTAAGCTTCAGCAATGAACAACTCAAGGCCAATCTTGTTTCATCTGTACCTCTACACTTTAAACCTCCAAACCTATCTTGAAATAAACCCATACATCATGGTGTTTCAGGCATGATTATTTCAGTATGTATCTCTAAATATAATGGCTGTACTTTTTCTTGACATTTTTAGCTACTTTATTGAAGTATGATATAAAATAACATTCAACCATTATTTGGTTTAATGATTAGTATTTTATACAGTTGTCAAACCATTACCACAATCCAGTTTTAGCACATTTTTATGACCCTCCCCACCCAAATTCTCCTGTGCCCATTTGCAGTTGCCCTGGTTCCCATGCCCCAACCCTAGCCATGGGCAACAATGACCTATCTCTTATAGATTTGCCTTATCTAGAAATTTCATATAAAATGGAATCACATAGTGTATAGTGTGTCTGACTTCTTTCATGTAGCATAATGTTTTTGAGTTCATTCATACTGATAAATTTATCATTATTTTATTCCTTTTTATTGCTAAATAGTATTCTGTTGTTCTGCTTATTTTTCTATTCTGTATTTTTATCAAGCAGGTAAGCCTGTACCACCTAATTTGTGGCACTGGAATGCTAACTTTATTTGTTGTTTTTCCTGATTTTATCTCTTGTGAAAAAGGAGATTTAAGATTTATTTCTGGCTGGTTTGTTTTTCTCTAGGTCAGTTTGAATTCTGGACTCTTGAGGCTGTTAAAATAACCAGGTATATTACTCTTTTTTTTTTTTTTAATGTTTATTTGTTTTTGAAAGAGAGACAGAGCATGAGCAGAGGAGGGGCAGAGAGAGAGGGAGACACAATCCGAAGCAGGCTCCAGACTCTGAGCTGTCAGCACAGAGCCCAACATGGGGCTCAAACCCCCAAACTGTGAGATCATGACCTGAGCTGAAGTCAGACGCTTAACTGACTGAGCCACCCAGGCACCCTGTCGGCTTTTTTGTTTATTTATTTACTTCTGAGAGAGAGGGAGAGCATGACCAGGGGAGAGGCACAGAGAGAGAGAGAGAGAGAGAGAGAGAGAGAATCCCAAGCAGGCTCCCTGCTGTCAGCATAGAGCCAATCCCATGAACCATGAGATCTTGACCTAAGCCAAAACCCGAGTCAGACCTCAACCAACCCAGCCACACAGTTACCCCGAGCATCCAACTCTTGATTTTGGCTCAGGTCATGATCCCAAGGTCGTGGGATCGAACCCCACGATGGGCTCGCGTCAGGCTTGTATCAGGCTCTGTGCTGAGCATGGAGCCTGCTTGGGATTCTCTTTCTCTCTCTCTCTCTCCCTCTGCCCCTGTCCCCCACTTGAACTCTCTCTCTCTCTCTCTAAAAAGAAAAAATAAAGAACATTTTTTCCACCTACATGTTTTTTCCCAACCTGTATATTCAATTTTTTATTTCTACAATCATATATTTAAGATCTTTATTTGTTTTTCTTTTCTATCCATATACTTTCTTGTACTTGTTTTTCAGGTGCAAGGTGTTTTAGCTGAGGATTTTTTTTTTAATTTTTGTTAATGTTTATTTATTTTGAGGGAGAGAGAGACAGAGTGCAAACTGGGGAGGGGCAGAGAGAGAGGGAGATACAGAATCTGAAGAAGGCTCCAGACTCCATGCTGTCAGCACAGAGCCCCATGTGGGTTCAAAATCACAAGCTGTGAGATCATGACCTGAGCAGAAGTCGGACGCTTAACCGACTGAGCCACCCAGGTGTCCCAGCTCTCTAATGATAGTTTTTATTTTCATTTTTAGTTTTCTTCCCTTTGCATAATCTGCCTTCTCCAAACTGTCTTCTTGTGGTTGGTTTGTTTAGCTTCTTTCATGTTAGAGGCTTTTGTCTGACCAGATGTCTGGTCATCCTTGGTGGTTCAGTGTTCCTTGATTATTTATAAATGTTCAATGTACCATCTCTACCCATTACCCAGAATTATTTACAGTGGTGAAAAATTGAACCAACCTAAGTGTCCAGCATTAGGGGAATGATTATATAAATTATGGGCCATCCATAAGATGGATTGTCATGCCGAAATTAAAAAAAAATTTTTAAGTTTATTCATTTTTGGGAAAAGTTTTCAATTAGCAATAATCGCGCCTCGGATAAACCTCATTGGCTACGATACTGTCACTGTGCAAAGCTTAAGTTTATTCATTTTTGAGAGAGAGACAGTGTGAGTGGGAGGGGGGCAGAGAGAGAGGGAGACACAGAGTCCGAAGCAGGCTCCAGGCTCTGTTGAGCTGTCAGCACAGAGCCCGACACGGGGCTTGAACTTGGGAATGGTGAAATCATGACCTAGGCTGAAGTCAGGTGCTTACCCAGCTGAGCCACCCAGGTGCCCCAGAAATTTAAAATTATATTAACAAGTAGGGAGTTAATTGGAAGCACTTAGGGCCAAGGCAAGGGCTTCCCTGTAGAGTAATCTGCATAGGCCCTTGTAGCAGAGAAAGCCCATGGCTGACATCTTTGGGACTTTGTTTTAGGGTGCTCACATTTTTCAGAGGAAATTTCCAGTATCCTAGAAGGTAAAGGTTTGTTGCCAGTGTCCTGGAAATCAAATGGAAGTTGAGAGGGAGGTCTCAGCATTCAGCCTTTGGAATGTATATGTACATTTTCTTTTCAGTAAAAGTTTGAGTTTTCATCTGAGCTTCTCCAGAGAGCTCCAGAGATGCAGAAATTTAAAGTCCTGCTTCCTGTATATTTTTAATGAGAATGAAGTTAGTTGGTAAAATAATGTATGCATTAATTATATGTTATAATTATATGTTGTATTGTCTTCACTATTTTGTTTTTTTAATTTTTTAAAGTTTGTTTCTTTTGAGAGAGAGAACACACGCAGCCCAATTCAGGGCTTGAACTCAGGTACCATGATATCAGTACCTGAGCCGACATCCAGAGTCAGCCTAATCGATGCTTAACTGACTGAGCCACCCAGGTGCCCCTGTCTTGACTATTTGAAAAAAAACAAACAAAAACCCTGCTCTAGAGACCCAGAGTCTAGTGAGTAAGGGAATTGAATGCCAGGCAGAGAGAAAGTAAAGAAGCAATATAGGCACAGGCTAAACTGCTCTCAAGGAAAGCAGTCCGTCCTTAGGGGGCTAGGTGTTAACAGACCATGGGCAGGAGTAGGAGACAAAGCTTGGAGCTTGAGCTGGGTGGGAGAGCTGGCTCAATAGTTCTTCCCCCTTCTGTACAAACTGAGGAACAGATTCAGAGGCTAAAAGCTTATCTAGAATTGTGCAGTGTGTACGCTGAATTGCATTCAAGATCTTGGATGCCAAAACCCTCACTCTGCAATACACCCTGCCAGCATGTAGCCGCAACATTCTCCACTCCTTGCTCTTCCACCTCCTGGAATAGGAGAAAATGGTATGGAGCATTGATATCCCTAGAAACCCTGAAGCTAAACTGGCTTGCGGCTAAAGGCTCATTTGTGTTGGTTTGCTGAAGGGTACTTCACACAGGGAGATCTGAAGACGAGCTACACCAAAATTCAGGAGAGGGATGGATGGATTTTTGTCAAGAAAATAGCCTGTAGACATCAGTTAGGTTGGGGCAAATAGGAGGAGGAGCTGGTCTGAAGAGGCAGCCTCAAGGGGACTCACTCAGGTGTAGGCTTAACCCGCCCAGGGTGTATGACGTTATAGTTGGAAGTGGAGTATGTAGACTCAAGACTCAGGGCATTTTGGAACTGTGTTTTCTGGAGAGATGTGCATGATTATTTGCCGTTACCAATTAAGGTACGTAGTAAGAAAATCAGGCTTTGAGTGTCGCTATATAGATAAAAGCCAATTAGAGTCGTTTCAGGAGTGACCCCAACCTCAAAGTGGTGTGCGCAGCAGTGGGTATCACTGTGATCACTTCCATCTCATACTTACCTAACAGGGGAAATAACCATGGTTACAAAGGTAGCTGCTCAGGGTGAGGTTTATCCATTGTACTCTAGGTGTGCTGCTGGTCCCTGTGATTTCCCCAAATGTGGGAAGCTAAGCTGCATGACTTCTGGTAGTGGGGAACTGTGTTCTGGTTTCCCCTATGTGGTTGTGTCCCAAGAACAGTTACTATAGTTGTTTTTTGGTGCGTTACTAAGGCATTTTGGAGGAGATTGGCCTGAAATTCTTGCTACTAAGATTGCTCTGTTTTAGCCTATTCAGTTGGTAATGCTTTTTAGTGGTAGTGAATTGCTTATGTTTGGGTAACTTAATTCTATAATTACTAAGCTTGTTTCTTTATACCATGTTAAACTTGTTTTATATCCTATTGGACAGCACTGCTACCCTTACCTAAAAAGTTCCCACATTCAGCTTTCTTTTGTGAAAGCTGCGGGGTGCGGGTACGGGGCGGGCCTAGAGTTCTAGAGAGTGAGCCAGTGTGGAGCCTCTCCCCTGCTTGCTCAAGGACGCGTGCATGCGTGTGTGCTCTCTCTCTCTCTCTCTCTCTCTCTCTCTCTCAAGATAAATGAAGTTTAAAAATATATGTTAAAAAGAAAAAGAGCTACCTGGGATCCACAGAAGCCACTATTGAATTCAGGGTTTAAACATTTAGGTACTGTAGGCAGGGTGCCTAAAACAGTTTTAAAATCAAAGAAAAAAGGTGAATTTTTTTTTTTAATTTTTTTTCAACGTTTATTTATTTTTTTGGGACAGAGAGAGACATAGCATGAACGGGGGAGGGGCAGAGAGAGAGGGAGACACAGAATCGGAAACAGGCTCCAGGCTCTGAGCCATCAGCCCAGAGCCCGACGCGGGGCTCGAACTCACGGACCGCAAGATCGTGACCTGGCTGAAGTCAGACGCTTAACCGACTGTGCCACCCAGGCGCCCCCCAAAAAAAGGTGAATTTTTAGGTGGAAGAAAATGTCATATATGGGAATGCTTGGCTGGCTCAGTCGGTAGAGCATGCAACTTTTGCTCTCAGGTTCATTATGAGTTCGAGCCCATGTTGGGGGTAGAGGTTACTTTCAAAAAAAAGAAAAGAAATGTCATGTATAATAATATATTTATCTTCTTATAAATGCAGTCACATAATTTTAATGTGTATGGTTTTTTTAATAGAGGAAGGTTCCATGAAGGCAAAAGTGTGTAGGGCCCTTTAAAATCATAACATGGTCCTGATTGAAGCTGATTCTTACTTTCATTAGTTCTCACCACTTTTCATATAGTTCTGGCAGGCAGGTCTATTTTCCTTACAGGTTGTGATCTTATTATTGAAGGCAGAATCTATCTCTGCATTGTTTCTTTTAGTATCTCTAGTGCTTAGGCTGGTAGCTGGCACCTTAAAAGTTTAGGTGGCTTGGGGTGCCTGGGTGGCTCGGTGGGTTGAATGTCCGACTTCAGCTCAGGTCATGATCTTATGGTTCGTGGGTTCGAGCCCCATATTGGGCTTTGTGCTGGCAGCATGGAGCGTGCTTGGGATTCTGTGTCTCCTTCTCTGTCACTGCCCCTCCCCCACTCGTGCGCAGGTGCTCGCTCTCTGTCTCTCTCTCTCAAAAATAAATATTTTTTAAAAAGCTTAGGTAGCTGTGAGAAATGTGTACTACATACATTTAAGTAATGACTTGAGAACAGTTTTTCATTTTGCTTAATCATTAGCAGTACTGATAAAAATTCAAGAATACTTTGTGAATACTGAAGATACTAGATTAGACGGTGTGGCCCTCGGAATAGCAAAAAGTCTCTGAGTACTTACGAAGTCAAATCTGTGGGGGACACAAATAGTCCTAGAGGCCTCTGGGCTATAGCTAGCCTGGCATTCATGGATACCATGGAAACAGCCGAAGTTTTACCTTCCTTCTGTGAAATCAAATCTCCCAGAATGAAATTAGGAAGGTAGTTCAATAATGAAATGATACTTTATATAACTGAAGTGGGCTGGGTCACACTTTGTAGATGAAGTTATCTAGCAAATGTCTAACTAGCGTGACTGAAGCCAGGGCCAATGTGTGAATGGGATCAGCTACCTGCAACACAGGGTAGAGTGGCTGTAGAGTGTTACTCATGCTTTCCTGGTAGTGGATTAGATTCCGTTTGTTGGTGCTGTGGGCAACTTCTTGACAGTTACACCTGCTTTATAAACTTACATAACAAAACTCAGCTTTTAAAAATTGAATATACATGCCACCCTCATTATATTTCTACATATCACTCCTTCTCTGGTCCCATGAGTCTAAGGAATGGATGGAGATTGAGAGATGGAGATGAGACTCACAGACTGAGGGGCTTGTCAATTGGAACAGAACATCTGAATTGGCAGGGAAGCCATGATCTAGGAACTCTCCAAATACTCACTGTACTGAGGGAGGGGCTGTGTTTCTCCATCTTGGCTTATTTGGGGCCTTTGATTTAGTTGGTCATTGTAGTTGGTTGTTTTATTCTCTATGTATATACAAATTATTACTGATAATTATCATTGTTTCTAGAAGGCATGTTCAAGCACTGATACCTAAAATATGGTTAAATCACAATTTCAACCTAAGACTATTTGATGTTAAACCCAGTATTCAAAACTCTTTTTTTTTAAAAACAAATTTTAATGTTTATTTATTTTTGAGACAGAGAGAGAGAGCATGAGTGGGAGAGGGGCAGAGAGAGAGAGAGAGTCAGACACAGAATCTGAAGCAGGCTCCAGGCTCTGAGCTGTCAGCACAGAGCCAGACGTGGGGCCCGAACCCATGAACTGTGAGATCATGACCGATGCTTAACAGACTGAGCCACCCAGGCATTCTGCGTTCAAAACTCTTTAAATACTATGCAATACTCCTGCAGTGATTCAACTAGGATTTGGTGGTCCCCATATTTTTTTAAAGTTAATTTATTTGTTTATTTTGAGAGAGAGTGAGAGTGCATGGGAGGGACAGAGAGAGAGGTGGGGGGAGAGAGAGAGAACCCCAAGCAGGCTCCACACAGCTCGGAGCCCAATGCTGGGCTCAAACCCACAAACCACAAGATCATGACCTGAGCCAAAATCATGACCTGATGCTTAATGGACTGAGCCACCCAGGCACCCCTGGTATTTCCTTATTATTCATAATCTCCTTATTATGAAGAAAAAACAGTCTAACAATATTATTGAAATTCTGTAACCTGTATTTCACAACTAATAAAATTTATGTCTTTTGCATTTCCTTTCAGTAATTTTCATTAAGGATACACATTTTTACAAAATTGTGGTCATGGTATACATACCATTTCATATTCTGTTTCCTCCTAACCTTTTATATAATTTTTTCATGTTGTTAATTGTTATTATTTACTATTACATTTTTTTAATATTTCCCCTATTGTTTTGACGTCAAAGGTTTTTGGGCTACTTTGGTTTTTGCAATGGTAAATAAATCTATGATGAATACCTTTGTACATAGGACATCGTCTTTCTCTAGAATTACTTCCTTCAGGTAAATTAAAAGAAATTTCTGGGTCAAAAAGTATGAGCATTTTTTGGCATGAGATGTATATAATTAGGGTTATTTATTTATTTATTTATTTTGCTGTAAGTAATATTACAGTCATGTTACAGAATATTTAGGGGAAAAAATATTAGTCCATAGTTCTTTGATGACACTAACATAATTATACTAGTTTGCATTTTGGTGTATTTCCCTTAAGTCTCTTAAAGTTAGAAACAGCTTTAGAAATCACTTTTTTTTTTTTTTTTTTTTTTTTTTGAGAGAGAGAGAGACAGAGGAGAGAGAATCCCAAGCAGACTCTGCACTGTTAGCATGAAGCCCAACAAGGGGACTTGAACTCACAAACAGTGAGATTATGACCTGAGCCAAAATCAAGACTCAGATGCTTAACTGACTGAGCCACCCAGGTGTCCCAGAAATAGTTTTAATCATATTATATATTCAATTTCGTATGCTGCTTTTATGGCATGCAACATTATATAATTTAGGCTTTCTTCTCATTCTTAACAAACTTGAAGTTAGTTTTATAATTAGCTATGAACCCTGAAATTAGAGATCTAGACTTTGAAAGATAAAAGAAAAGTTGTTTCTAAAGAACTTGAAAATATTTATCACATGTCACCTCTTCTCCCCACACCCACCCCCAATAATTTAAGGCACTTCTTAAGATGACTGTAAAATAACAGGGAAAAAAACTATTAAAAATTACCCCAAGGGGTATGCCTGGCTGGCTCAGTTGGTAGCATATGTGACTCTTGATCTCAGGGTCGTGTTTTTGAGCTCCACTTTGGGTATGCAATATACGTAAAAATTTATTTAATTAAATAAGTAAACAAATAAAATTAAAATTACCTCAAAAATCATCATTAATTACTTACAAAGATATATCTACAATGCTGTTCATATACATATGAACAGTGGCAATAAACTAGAAGCAATAGAATACTGATTATACAGTTATCTGTGACCCAGTATATATAGCAAAAGGAATGGAAAACATAAAGCAGCACATGAAGTATAATCCTATTAAAATATATATTTATATTGAAATTAACCATGTTTAATATCAAAGTGTTAACAGTAATAATTTTGTAGTGTAATTGTGGGTTTTTAAAATTTAATGTTTATTTTTGAGAGACAGAGAGACAGAGTGCAAGTGGGGGAGGGTCGGAGAGAGAGGGAGACAGAATCTGAAGCAGCTTCCAGGCTCTCAGCTGTCAGCACAGAGCCCCAAACGGGGCTCAAACTCATAAACCACGAGATCATGACCTGATCTGATCATGACCTGATCTGACCTGACCTGATCTGATCTGACCTGATCGGTTTGGACTGATCGGTTTGGACGCCTAATCGACTGAGCCAGCCTTTTTTTTTTTTTTTTTTTTTCTCCTCCAGCATCTAAATAGACTTTTATTTTTTCTTTTACTTATTTGGACAGAAAAGAAAATTCATCAGCTTTCATTATAGTCTCCCTAAGTGTTGGAAACACATTAAACTCACCAATAGTGGACATTGTAGAAAAGCACCACAAATTAAAAATATATTTCTCCATGTGGTAAAAGTACTTTCAATCCAATTAAAGGACACGGCGAAGGTATTTTGAAACACAGTTTTAAAATTTGGCCTACAATC